GTTTTGGAAATAGTCAACTTTTTTTAAAGTGTTAGTGAAAATGGATGCTGTGACCTTTAATTAGGATTCAAGTGGTACTATCACCATAACCGAAGCCCCATTTTAAAAAATAAAAATAAAAATAGCCAGTGGCAATTTGGCCCCTTACTTTTTGGTGAGAATGGCTCAACAATATTACTCCCGGGTCTAGCCCAATCGCAACTTTCATTATTTATGGGTTAACGGGAAATACTTACTATACTTCTCCTACCCCTACTGCATAGAAGGTATGTGGTTCCCTCCTATCTAGCTGCCCAATTAAGTGAGCCACTTACCAGATCTAGATTTGGCTTTTTAGAGTATTTTATTTTTAGTTATTTCTACAAATTATATAAATATGAAATTTGGTACGTGCTAACATCTCAATGGGGGTGTACTTAAAGAAAATATTAAAATGAATTTTTGGATAAAATATAATGATCAAAATATCCTTTTGGTTATTTTATTTTATCGAGAATATTTTTTAGCTATTTTATTTTAGGGATATTTTAGTTATTTTATTTTATTGAGAATATTTGTTTATAAATATTTTTTACGGATGCAAGTTTAAGAGAGTAGTGGACGTCCAAAATTTGGTGCCAAAATATTTTGTAAAAAAAAAAAAAAATAGTAGAGAGATGTGATATTGTGATTGGGGTCATCTCAACCGTCCATTCAAAATGAGCAGTTAGATAGAGGGATTTATATAAGTTTGTCTTTATGAAAGTAGCTAATCTCTACTCAAACAAAGATGTAAACAAATGCAATTTCAGTAGTTAGAAGGTGCCACATGAAATGATTCATCAATCTTATTTGTTAATAGAAAATTTTACTAGGTACAAAAGGGGATTGAGGAATATAGACATCCGAAGAAGTAGCAATTTGGGAATTAATCTTAGTAGGGCCTAGAGTTGATGTAGTTGCCCGGAGGAGAGTACTCGCAGACAGCAAGCGTGTCTCCGCTATCGCATATAATCTTGGCACAGCCGACTCTTTCGGTGTTCCTCCACACGATCTGAGTGTAGTGGGTGCAGTCAGGTCCATTGCAAACATTGAGGTTGTGGTCGTAATATTGCTTTTGAGTTACCCATGCGGCCACAATATCAGTGATGTCCCAATTTCTGCCACTCCCCCAAAACATGTTTTCTCCAAGTGGCCCCTCGGAATGCATCAGAGCGCAATCGGTTCGACGTTGTCTAGCATAGCCGCGGGCAAACTCGGCGAGCCTGGGTTCCCAAACCAAGGGGGCCACGCCCACCTCTGCCCTAGCCGTGTTTTGTGGATCAAGGAAAGCTCCTACTCCCACTGGGCTTGTGCTATTCCCGTTCGAGGCCACCCCGGCATGAATTCCCATTGCAGCCACAAGGAGGGCCATGAGCACCATTTTCGAAACACAACACGGATTCGCCATCTCAGGTCCTTCTCAGTCAAATGAATCGAGTAACGAGGGACAATTGGTTCGTTTTGGTTTGGGTATGGATTTTTGGATGGTTAATGGACTACAAGATTGGGCCATATATATATATACACATATTGGGAGGTTATAATATTAGGAGTTTGAGTAGGTTTTAAGGAGTGAATATACGGCGCAGAATAGCGAACCATATACATTGTAATGTTTTGCTCAGTTGAAAAGATAACGGCTGACTTGCTTTTGTGTTTTGGTTGAGGTCAGAATATGTGGCATGTTCATTGATCCTAAAAAATTTCCGGCTGCGGTCTATCTTTGTTGAGTGCGCACGAGAGAGAGAGAGAGAGGATTTTAGATCATTAAATAAAGAGTGTGGTTTGCATAGAGCTGAGGCTCTAAACAATTAAAATAAAGCACG